TCCTGTGCAACCCATCCTCCCCCCCTCTCCAAATGCCCCCACTTGGGTGACTATCGTTGCTCTGCCACGCTGCCCCTCTTTTCAGGGACGCCCACTCCGGGAGCAACAGGAAGTGGCCGCGGCCGTCATTCAGCGTTGCTACCGTAAATACAAACAGGTGAGTGTTCTTTTGGACGGGGGGGGGCAGCTTTTCCCAGAAGGAGCTGGCACCGGGTGGCCAAGGCCTCTCCCTCCCTCCTTTCAAAGGGGGTGGGGGGTCCTCTGACATTCCCGGCCCCAGTCCTTCACATTTTCCTAGGAAAAGGTTTGCTGCTGCGGCATTCCCTCCCCCCAGGAGCGAAACAGGGCTTTGACATATGGTCCGAGAGCACAGCTGTGAGGGGGGGAAACATTCCCTCAAGTGCTCCCCCCCCTCCAAACATCAGCCCAGAGCAGTCTAGCTGAGAGAGCCGAAACAGGGCTTTAACATATGATCCGAGGGCACAGCTGTGAGGGGGGGACCCACTCCCTCGAGTGCTCCCTCCCCCTCCAAACATCAGCCCAGAGCAGTCTAGCTGAGAGAGCCCCAGGCCTTCCTCCTGGCTTCAGACGCCCGGGAGAACCAGGCTGGCTTTGGGGATCTGTAAACTGGCTCCATGGGGAACCCTCTCCAGCACAAGACTGTCATGATGAAAGGGGGGGACCTGTGGCTTCTCACACACCCCAGCTTTTTATTTGGCACGCCTGCCTCCCCACCCCACCCCACTGGATTGCTCAGTAGTTTAGGCCTCTGGCCACGGAGCCAGAGGCTGGCACGGGGCCCCTCCTTGACTGGGGCTGGACTTGATGATCTATGGGGTCCCTTCTAGCTCTGCCATCTTGGGGAGGAGGGAAGGGCACTAGCCCACCACCTGCACGCCTTCTCTCCCACCAGAATTTAGGAATTCTAGATTAAGGTGCTGCACATGTATACGCACGGAAAGAGACCATTATCACCCCTTCCACGTTGTCTGCGCATTAACTAAGTTGGGGTTCTCAACCATGGTGGTGTTGAGACGTCCTTCTGGCCTGCTGGGAGAGCCCCATTCTGCAGCGTCCCGTGGCCTGAACCTTTGGGGAGGGGGGAGTTCCAGAGGCTCCCCACAGCAGCTCCTATGTGTTCCATTTAGAGAGCAGGGCTCCTCACAGGAGAATCTCTCTGGCTTCTGCCACCGGTGTGCCAACCCATGGGCGGCACCCCGGCTCCGCCTGCTTGTTTCCCCAAAATGGAGGATCCCTGAGAGCCGGTCCTCCCAGAGTCCTGCAGGAAAGGCATTGTGCCCCCCCCCCTTTCACTGGATGCTTCTGATGACCAAAGAGGCTGACGGACGAGCGTTCACCTTGTGCTTTCTGTTTCTCTTCCCACAAGCTTACTTGGATAGCCTTGAAGGTAATGACTCACGGAGGGAGGGGGAGAGGAGCCTCTGGGTTTGTGTGTGTGTGTGTGTGTGTGTGTGTTTGTGTGTGTTTGTGTGTTCGGGGAGCCATCCCCTTATCCCTGAGAAAACTGCCCAGACCTTTCAATCTCTCTCTCTCTCTCTCTCTTTTCCTCCCTCCTTTCCTGCCTTGACCTCCTGACCATCACCACCACCCCGTCTCCCCTCCCAGTATGCACTTTATAAGAAGATGATCCAGGCGGCCATTCTCATCCAGAGCAAATTCCGGAGTTACTACGAGCAGAAGAAGTTCCAGCAGAGCCGGAAAGCGGCCGTCCTGATCCAGCAGTTCTACCGCAGCTACAAGGAGTGTGGCAAGAGAAGGCAAAGTCGCAGGACGGCTGCCCTCGTCCAGCAAAAACTCAGGTGGGCCGGCTGGAGAAGGCAGGCAGGCAGGCAGGCGGGGCAAGGCGCTAGTCCTCAGTGGCCAGAGGGGGTTGGTTTCATGATGCTTTCCCCTTAATCACACTTCCCGAAAGTTATCAGATGGCTTTTAGCAGGATGTCTGTGTAATTTTGATCATTCTTACTCTCCTTAACCAGGCTATTATCATGTTGTGTCATTGTCTCCCTCTTTCCCCCATCACGCCCTCAGTCAACCACCCACCCCTCCATCCACCCTGTCCTTTTTTTGTCTGCCTAAACCTGTGGTTGAACTATTAAACTCTGGGCACATGGGCTGATTTGTAAATCACGAAAGTTTGCCCCTAAGTAGCTTGGTTCGAGAAAAGTAGGGTTTTTTTGGCCTGAAGCAGAACACCTACCTGTCTGTCCTTCTGTCCGCCCGTCTCTCAGGGTGTCATGATATCACCACCTGGAGAAAGGCAACCAGCAGAGATACGACCTCCTATGATTTCTCAGCGTTCTAGTCTTGTAGGATAAAACGTAGTTTTGCATCTGAGAAAGACAGGGAGGAAACTGGAACTCAGAGGCGCCGCTGGCTCAAGGCAGGCAAAATATTGGTGTACGTAAATAACAAGGAGGGGGTTCAAATGGAATAGGACTCAGCCAGAGACTGAGAAGCGGAACAGGAAGGTGACTTTGTGTCATCAAGGAGCAGAAAGGGTGGATCGCGACAGATCCAATTCATCCGTGTGGCCCCCGGAACAAGCTGGATCGCGGAGCCAGAAGTTGGGAGTTCGATTCCCCCACTGGGTCTGCTTAACAGCGGCAGGACTCAGGGACCCATAGGGTCCCTTCCTGGCATTGCCGTTCCAAGATGATGATGATGATGAAGATTAAGCCTGGCAGCAGCAGAAGCTTTGGGAGCTTGTGAAAACCAGCTGCCCTCGCCTAGGGTGACCCTCTGGCTGCCAGGCAGCAGGAGAGAGAAGGAGGGGGTGCCCCTCTCCCTGTACAGGCTTTCCGGAGGCCTCTGCGTGGCTACAATGGGTTTCATCCTTGGACTCTGACAGCTGGCCTCTCTTTTTCCCTTCCCTTCCTCTCGCAGAAGCAGCCTGCTCACCAAGAAGCAGGACCAAGCTGCACGCAAGATCATGCGGTTTTTACGACGCTGCCGCCACAGGTAAGAAGTTGCCGGGCTCCTGGCTGCTTTCTGCTTCGGGTGAGAGAAGCGGCAGGAGCATAAAAAGAAGGCAGCAAATTCGTCAGGATTCGGGCTGCTTGACAGGCAGCAGTCTCTGAAGGCCAGAGGTTTCTGGAGAACGACAGGTGCTGGGGCTCGGGCAGAAGCAGCCCCTTGTGATTTCTTAGGAAGCAGTAGGACAGGCTGCCAGCATGACTGAGGCATCATCCTACACCTTAGGAGCATTTCCTGCAGATGTTGGTGACGTTACGGGTCCTGGCCAATAGGCGCTCAGCACAGTCACTGTTTCCTTGACCCTGAAAAACCTGAAAATTTTTCTCTCTTTTTTTTAAAGTAGGGGTCACTGTAGGAGAGAAAAATCCCCTTTTTTCTGCCCCCCATTTCAGGTCATCGCCTGTCCCTCCCTCCTGCCCTTTGGGGGTGTGAGGTTCAGAAGTGGGACAGGATCCCCCTTGATCACTTTTAGTATGGTACACTCACCATTACTAGCTTACAGACTGTCCTTGAATTGTTGCAAGCCACCTCGGGTCCTTTTTAAAGGAGAAACGTCAGACTGCAAATAGTTTAAATCAATAAACAGAATAAATCAATCCGAGGCCAGGCCTGAGTCCCCTGCTCTGTTGTGCCTTTGAGGGAGGGGTGGCTCGGGAGGAGACGGGCCTTCTTGGCTAGGGGAGCCTCTGGGTATGTGTGTGTGTGGTGCATTTTGGGGGAGTCAGAGGGGGGCGCCTGTACCCCTGCCCTGCTCATTTCGCTCTACTGCCCTGTCATTTCTTGAGGTCCAGGTTTGCTGAGGAAGCCTCACTTCCTGGGTCCTGAGAATACACACACACCCAGGTTTGTTGGGTTTTTTTTGGGGGGGGGTCCAGTCCACCCACCCCTTACATGCCCTCCCCAGCCTTTTTCAGCTTATGAAAGCTTGGAGGGAGGGGATGTCCTGCAGGATCCAGACAGGAAGGCTACAAACGCTTCTCCGAGGGAGAGCCTGGATCCTGTTTTTTTCAGCTCGGTGGACTTGGGACTAGCGTGGTCTCGGTGGGTTGCGATGGAAAGGGGGTGGGATGAGAACCCTGAGGATCTGCTTGGATGTTGGGTACGACTCATGGTGACCTTCATCTGGAGAGATTTTTCCAGGCCCTGTGCAGGACGAGTGGCCAGGGAGTGTCCTTCGTTAAGCAGCGCCTGATCCTCCGAGGGGCATCCTCGGACTGCTTTCCATGGGGGCTCTGTGCTTTCTCGGGAAAGTTGGGAATCTTTTTAACCTGGAGGCCAAATTTTTAACTTTTGACTTGAGCCCTTTTGGGGAGGAAGGCAGGGTAAAAATATTTTAAATAAATGAAATCAACCGGGATGGGGGGATTCCTGGGGATCACGTTCCAGCTGTCATTATGGCCAACACTTGATCTATCTCCAATAGATCTTCCAGGCTATTTTTAATTGATTCTGCTGATTTTCTCCCATTATCTTCCCATAAGACTCTCCTCAACTCCACTAGGTTTTCCCCATTAATTTCTGTCAGCCCTTCTTTGGGTTGGCATACACCATCCACCACCCTCTCGTTCCCTTCATCATTATTTCCTGTCTCCTGTTGACTATAATTCTTCTTTGACTGCGCCATGAATAATTTTGCCTGTTAGTTGTGGCATCTCACTATTTCTAACATTACTTGAAGGGTAGATTTCATTTTCCCCTAAAATTGTCCTTGTTGTGTCATTATGTTCTAATTGTCCCTTCCCATGGTCTGCGCTCGGGCATCTTTGACTCAGTGTGGGTGTGGGAAACGCTGGACCTTCCTGCCAAATCAGGTACCGGCCACTCCTAACAGTGGGGACGAACGCAGGGGAGACGGTCTACGCGCGGCGAGCGGGCCGTCCCAGGCATCAGAGGAGGAAAGGCTGATGGCCACTCATATTCTGGTCTATGAGATGAGGAGAGGGTGCAGGAGGAGGCCCCCGGATGAACGAGGGAGCCCTTCCATACGCAGCTGGAGCAAGATAGGCTGTTTTGGAATGCGTGGGAAGGTGTCGAGTTCTGGAATGCTCCCCCCACATTTGGGGACAGAAAAAAAAGTCCTGACCTGCATGCAGAAAGACAGCAGTTCAAGGATCATCTCACCCATCTCCCTCAGCCCTCCTTCCCATGGTCTGTGTTTGGGCATCTTTGACTCAGGGTGGGTGTGGGAAATGTTGGACCTTCCTGCCAAACCAGGTGCCAGCCACTCCTAACAGTGGGGACAAACGCAGGGGAGACGGTCTGCGCACAGCAAGCGGGCCGTCCCAGCCATCAAAGGAGAAAAGGCTGATGGCCAATCATATTCTGGTCTATCAGATGAGGAGAGGGTGCAGGAGGAGGCCCCCGGATGAACGAGGGAGCCCTTCCATACGTGGTTGGAGCAAGACGGGCTGTTTTGGAATGTGTGGGAAGGTGTCGAGTTCTGGAATGCTCCCCCCACATTTGGGGACAGAAAAAAAAGTCCTGACCTGCATGCAGAAAGACAGCAGTTCAAGGATCATCTCACCCATCTCCCTGGTGTGCTAGATTTTTTTTTCCTTCATGCGGGAAGTGGCCCATTCTGCTAAATCTTTTTAGGAGGAGAGACACCCTTTGGAGCAATAAAGCCTCAGTTCTTGATGGGAGGGTATTGAGAGGACAGGGAGGGCCAGGAACATTTCTCTGTACGCACAGCACATTGTGATCCTCTGAGCATATGGCAGGGGCAGAGGAGCCCCCCCCCCCGCTCTCTGCAGCTTCCCGGTGCCTCAACCACTGGAGGGACTCAGCAGGAGGGAGGGAGGCTGTGCATTAGAGAAGGCAGTGGGTGAGGGTGGGAGTCAGGGACCATTCTCAGGGCACAGCTCTCCCTTGGCTGTGTTGCGATGAAAGGGCTGCCGAGGTGGCAAAGCCATCACCACCCCTTCCAAGGAGCTGCCTCTCGGGCATGGGGTGCTTGGATTCGAAAGTGCCCCCTGTCTTGGAGAAAGGGGCTTTGGGAAAAGTGGGGAGGGTGGGGATTAAGTCAATTGCACTGCATGGAAAGCATTTGGCCGGGTTGGGGATGATGGTTTGGGGAAAAGCCCCATTGAGTTTCAGCTGGAATCGGGCAAAGCGCTAAGGATTTGCAGTGGGGGCCATCTCGAGGTCCCGAGTCTCTGATCTCCCCTGGGTTCAGGGCTCCGTAGGGCTCCTTCGTTGCGGTTGTGATTCTTCGAAGATGTAGCCGGAGGGTGACCCAAGAAACCAGACACGGCTTTCATCCTGGCAACCCGGCCCCTTCAGCCCATGTAGCTGTAGGGCACGGCAGGCCACGGGGTACCTTGGGAACAAACAGATTGTGCGTTACGCAGATGCGCGTGGCAATGCCAAAATGCAGGTCATGCAATGGGGGGGGGAAGATGGCATAGGAGAAACCCCCTTGTCTGTTACCCCGAACCTGCCTGAATTAAAGAGTCTTCCCCTGTCGGTGGAAAGACCGCTGGAAGGGGTCAGCCCGGCTTCTCTTGACAGGGAGCCCCGCAGCCCGAGAGTGGCCAGAGAAGGCTCTCTCCCGCATCCCTGCTGAACCGAGCGAGTGGGGATGTCTGAAGATCCGACGGTTCAGGCTTCCTTGTGGAATATGGGAAGTCCGGTGTCATGCTCTCGATACGTCCCGAGCACTCACTCACTGTCAGAGCTAGCAGGGTCCTGGTGGGAGACATGGAGCAAGTAGACCCGAGTCCCACATCTGCCAGAGGCCCAGTTGATCTAGGGTATGGAGGAGGTAGAGTGAACAGGGTCTCCTGGGGGGCTGCCCCCCACCCTCCTGCCCCGGGAGTGCTGCAGTTATCAATGCCGGGGGTGGCAACCACTGCCTTTTGGGGCGCTGACCACCACGTCTTATTGGGGGAAGTTGAGGGGGGCCCCCCAGATGTTCTCACCTCGCCTGACTTCTTCTCTGTAGCAAAGCTGATGGCGGGGGTCTGCAGAAGTGTATGAAAGACTCAAGATGTGTATGTTTGTATGTCGCAACTCGTCCGCAAAGCGAGGTGTGTCCTTTGGAAGCACCAATGACCCATCTGCCTTTCAGATCTGCCTTGGCGCCTGCGAAAAGCAGCGAAACATCAGAAATGGTTAGCGGGTCTTGACCCGTGTTTAAAGTCCTTGGGCTCGGTCTGTAGTCCACCTGGTCCCTGGCGGTGTGGGGGGTGGGCGACTAGCCTGCCTCTCCTGGTCTTTTGGGTCACAGAAGCTGTGGAAAGCCTGCACCTCTAGCCATCACTAGAGATGTAAAATTTCTGAAAATATCCATTTTTTTTGGAAAAAGAACCATTTTTTCCCCTGGTGGTCCCCCCCCCCGGGGAAAAATGCACAATAATTGCATTAGCACTGACTAGAGATGTAACATTTCTGAAAATTTCCATTTTTTCCTGAACGGGCCAGGGGGGCAGGACACACACGTTTTCTTCCCTTCCCCCTGGGAAAAAAATGGAACATTTTTTTGAAATTTCACATCTCTACGCCCTTCCCATCTTCCCCCTTTCCTGCCTCTTGCTACAAGCATTGCCCCCCCTTGCCTCCATCCTGGAGACCAGTGCTCTGTCCTCCTGTTCCCTACCCGTTCTCCTCTAGAGTAGACAACCCTCGTTGGTCGGAACAATGTTGAATAAAAGTTCTCTCTCTTGCCCTCTGTGTGTGTCCTAATCGCTGTTTGCTATCCTTTTGCCCATCTGAAGCCCTCTCGTGGACCATAGGCGGTACGGAAGGGTGAGTGTAGATGCCTGCTGGACTGTTTCTCTTCCATTTAAAATATATCTATATATATCTCCAGATATATATACATCTATTCTTGCTTTCTGCTTGCTTGCATGGGGGCTGCAGCTGAGTTAATGGCATAAGTCTTTTTTTTTCATATCCATTCAACCCTCTTGGGGAATCGAAAGGCCCTGCCAGACTAACTTTGTTGCAGTTACTAATCCTGCTGGCACAGATGGTATCTCGCCCCT